GTGAAATCATTGACTATACTGGAGGATTCTCGCCTGGGCGAGAAATGACAATTTTGGGCTGTTGACACAGTGTAATCGATTACACACTCCTGGTAATCGATTACATGATGATAAACTAATCAGACCTGTGCATCTAACACAGTGTAATCGATTACACACTCCTGGTAATCGATTACATGATGATAAACTAATCAGACCTGTGCATCTGACACAATGTAATCGATTACACACTCCTGGTAATCGATTACATGATGATAAACTAATCAGACCTGTGCATCTGACACAGTGTAATCGATTACACACTCTTGGTAATCGATTACACACTCCTAGTAATCGATTACATCGTATTAATGTAATTGATTACACACTTCTGGTAATCGATTACATCGTATTAATGTAATCGATTACATCGTATTAATGTAATCGATTACACCTTGTTGGTAATCGATTACATAGCGACGATGTCTCTGTAATTTACACAGTGTAATCGATTACACTATACTTGTAATCGATTACACTTATCGCAGTGTCTATAAAATAGAAACTCAAAACACATTTTAGGGTTAGAACTTCGAAGAGAAGAGAGAGATGAGAGCTTTTCAAGAGCAAGGAGCCTTAGGACTCATCTTGGAGCTTGAGAAGAGGTAAACCTCTTGTTACTAACTCTTCTTCTTCCTCTCTAACTTGTTTTGGGTATGTTGGATTTATTTTCAAAACATGAGAAACCATGGAAACTCATCCTTTAGAGTTATGGTTCGTTTTATGTTGTTTTTATCTTGTAAACTCTTGGTTTAGAGATAGTATCTCAAGAATGGAAAGGGTTGTGGGTTGATTCATGAAAACCCAAAAACCCTAAAAGTGAAAATGTGGTAAAAGGAGAGAATGAGTAAAATGCTAGAGGTAGAAGATGAGTTTACCCCCAAATATTGAAATATGAGATGTTATGCATGTTTTAGATGGTTGAATATTGATGATGAATATTTTGTATGATTAAATGATGCAATATAAGTTGTTTATGCGATATTTGGAATAAATGACTAACATTGTGTTATGTGGTGGGATGAGGAAAGATCCTAAGGTTGGAGGTGGTGTCGGTAGAACTAGAGAAGTTGCCAAGAACCGAACCCCAATACTCACCAAGGTAAGGATAAGTCTTTAATTTTGCATTTGAAATAGAAAATGTGTATTTTCTGGTTATGCAAAGATTAAGTTGTAAATTACGCATTTAGTATAAACATATATGGGTGTGTTTATATTAAAGATGGCGTAGATTTACGGAAAAAGAAAATGTGGGTATTTTCTGGTTATGAAATGAATAAGTTGTACATTGCGCATTTAGTATAAACATATATGGGTGTGTTTATACTAAAGTAGGCGTAGATTTACGGAAGATGGAAAACGTGTGTGTTTTCTGGTCATGCAATAATTATATTGTGAATCACGTAGTTAGTATAAACATATATGGGTGTGTTTATACTAAATATGGCGTGGATTTACGGGAAATGATTGATGGTGAATTCAATGAAAAGAAAATATATTTTTAGCCGACCATAAATGGTTAGCGACTTCGGCCCGAGTTTACGAGGCAACACTTCGGCTCGAGTTTATGTAGCAACACTTCATCCCGAGTTTACGCGGCATGTTTTCTTTATAAAAGAGATGAGAATTTGTTTTTATCTAACCCTAAGGGGTGTAGCGACTTCGGCTCGAGTTTATGTAGCAACACTTCAGCCCGAGTTTACGCGGCATGTTTTCTTTATAAAAGAGATGATAATTTGTTTTTAGCTAACCCTAAGGGGTGTAGCGACTTCGACTCGAGTTTATGTAGCAACACTTCAGCCCGAGTTTACGCGGCATGTTTTCTTTATAAAAGAGATGAGAATTTGATTTTAGCTAACCCTAAGGGGTGCAGCGACTTCGGCTCGATTTTACGTAGCAACACTTCAGCCCGAGTTTACGCGGCATGTTTTCTTTATAAAAGAAATGAGAATTTGTTTTTAGCTAACCCTAAGGGGTGTAGCGACTTCGGCTCAAGTAATGCAGCAAGACAAAATGAATTTCGGAAATGGTTTACTAACCCTTTTTCTAATGTGGATTATCTTATAATGACGTTTATTGAATTAACGACTTACTCCTTTGTGTGTTTTGTACTTTTGTCATTGATAATCCCATTGCAGGTAAATAAATGAATGGAGTATGCTAGTTCGGGAGCTTTAGGAGCTTTAGACGTTGGATTCACTATTTATGTTTTTGTATCTTAAATGACTACTTGCGGATTTAAATGATTGTAATCATAGCTAACCATTAGTCGGATATTTGTAACTGGGTGTATGGTTATTTCGGAGAACTATACTTATGGGATCTCATTATCCGTGAGACATTACGAATATGAATTATGTTTTTATGTCAAATCAAGTGTAGGTGATTATGGAATTTGCAAGTATGATAGTAAGTGTAGGAAAATGCATGCAAAATGATTAAAATGAATGAAAAATTTTCAATGGTAGAAAATCGGGTCGTTACATCGATGTTTTATGAGTGAATGAGGTTCTCTAAGTGAATAAGCTGAGAGTGTAGAGGGAAGTGAATCATGTTTTGTATTTTAAACACTCTTAACATTCAACCGCACTCACTACAATGAGAGTTGTTGATACTTCACATTTAACAGTGCTCATTTAAGTGAGCATTGTTGAATGTGATAGATTTTGACATTCAATAGTGCTCGCTACACTAAATGTTGTTGAATGTTTTTTCGCCTTTGACATTTAACAGCACTCATTGAAGCAAGTGATTTTAAATGTGATTGGCGGATATACATTCAACATCGATTACTTCATCGAGCACTATTGATTATTTTATTTGAATAAAAAGTTAGACATTTTAGGATATGAATTAAATAGAATTTGAGATTAATTAATATTAATGCTAGAATTATTATAAAGTTAATATTAATGATTCATATATAATTTGATATTAGAAAATATATCAATTATTTAATTTAATCATAATACAAAAAGTATGTTAATATTCACATACTTTTTGCTTACAAAAAGTATGCAAAACATGAAAATGCACGAGTGTCAATAACACTCACTATAGGGAGGGTTGTTGAATCTGTGCAAATAAACAACGCTTGCTTCACGAAGCGTTGTTGATTCTTTGAGGAATACATTTAACATCACTCGTTGAAGCAAGCGTTGTTGAAGGTATATCTACCTATTAAATTTAGCAGCGCTTATCTTGCTGGTGTGAGTCGATGTCGTTGACGCCGCCACTTCCTCCACCTTTTGAGCATCGCTGACCAGAATAGAGAAGGCAATGGTTAAGGATTCTAATTTTCCCATTCCCATTTTCGTTGCTCTGACCAGCAGGGGTAATTTAACATTACTCCTTTACTTTAATTCTTATTCATTTTAATGCATTGTCATTTGTTTTGTCCTTTATTTATTTCTGTTCTTTTTTCATTTCTTTCATACAATTATTCCAACATACTTGTTAGATAGTTTTAAATAAAATCAGTATAAATAATATGTTGTAGCTATTATCAATAATGATATATTGTAATTAAAATCTCATTAGTATTTGTAAAATTTATCCAAAATAATTAAAATTAATTCATCACTGAATTTTAGATGGAATTTTTATAACAATGTTATGATTCGAGTTGTCTTTAACTTCTCTAAAAATTGGAATAAGCTGAATGACCAATATCATATCTAAACTATTAATTTCATGTACCAAAAATGTTTTAAATAAAAATTATCTTATTACTCAAACGATTCCTTAATGGAATTTTTATAGCAAGGTTATGGTTCGAGTTGTCTCTAACTTATCCGAAAATAGGAAGAAGATGAATGACCAATATCGTCTCTAAACTATTAATTCCATATAAATGTTTTAAATGAAAATTATCGTATTCATTTAACCAAATTCTAATGGAATTTTTATAGTAAGGTTATGGTTTGAGTTATCTCTAACTTCTCTGAGAATGGGAAGAAGATGAATGATCAATACCGTCTCTAAACTATTAATTCATTATCAAAAGTATTTTAGTAAAAAATTCTATTGCATTACTTAGTCACTTCAATATATTTTAAATCATCTCAAAACAATATATCAATTTCCCAACCAGAACTACGTAACTTTGATTTCCCTATTGCACCTAGGAATAGGTAGGAGCAAGATGAACTCTTGTCACGCACAACAATAAAAATAAAACATTTTACTTTTATTACTAAATTTTAATCGAATAGTTTTTATGGGTATAAAAATTCATGTTATTAGTAAGGGTATCGTTTTAATACGGGCGGACGGGGTGTTAATATCTTCCCTGATCCGTAATCGACTTTCGAGCTCATAATCTCTGTTTAAAGACAATTTTATCCTAATTGGGCTTATTAGAGATTTTTCTACATTTTATCCGCAAAAAACGTAGTGGCGACTCCAAATTAATTGGAAGAGATAGAAATCGAGTTCCTCTCTCCCTAAGTCGCAGGGTCGGTCTTCTAACCGAAAATCGGGTCGCGACAATCAAAACTTACCAACATAATGAAATAAAATATAACTGGGATAATATGAATACCTAATTTTTTTCGATCTATTTTATTGAACTCACAACTTTTATGATTTTATAAAGTCAAATGAAGTATTCTTACCCAATATGTGATATTAAAAGTATATTTTGTGACTTTGTAAAATTAATAAGCAAAAATGACAATTTTTTATTTTATAAAGTCAAATTAAGTATTTTTACCCAACCTGCCATGTTATAAATATACTTTTATGATTTTATGGTTTTTTTTCCTTTTGTGAATATCCAATTTCGTCTGGGATCTTTTTTTTAAAACTTTAAAGAAGTTTATGAAACGGGTCGTAATTACATAAATTCAGAGGACTAAATACTAATTTCCATAAATAACACTTAACCCTAAAGCTAGTTTTAAGGGGTCTATATAAAGACCCACTTAAACTAAACTAGGTCATCTTTTATCCATTGAGCATCCTTAAACATTACCCATCTCATCCCTAAACACATAGCTTAACATCTACTCTCCAACATCGCCCCGGGCTGTCAGCTCACGGCTGGACTGCTACGGTAGTCTTCGGCGGCTCGTTATGGCTCCTCCATCGCTGCACACCGCACCTCAAAGCCTACACCATAGCTGACCATTGTATTCAGCCTCGTCGACAACATACAGACCCTGTTTTGGACGTCTTGGCCACTCCAGCCTGGCCATGGTAATGGCCGTGTAGTGGCGGCAGTTCCTGGACTCGCAGTCCGGGTAAGGAAGTTGACCTTCACCCTTTTTTTATATTTCAATGGTTTTTCTAATATTTATTCTGTATATAATTTGTTTATATTTTATTCATTTATGAATTTGTCTTGTATTTATCCTTAGCATACATGTGTAACTCTTTCATGATGTTGTTTGGTATTAGCATTAGGCTTATGTTTTCTATGTCGTGTTGTTTGGTTTGATTTATTTTTAGTGTATTTATGTTATCCATTTGGTTCTTTTTTTTGTATTTCATATATAAACCCTAGTCAAAATAGTAAAAATATATATATGTTTTTTATTAATGATTCTTACCCTAATTTATAAAAAACGATTACACTTTGATAATTTCAAATAAACTAATTAATTAGCCAATGTTGCTCTCGTAAATATCAAATAGCCATTATAATTAATGTGTATCATATTTATTTGAACTATCAATAAATTAGTTCCATTTTTTGAAATTAGCCATTAAATATGACTCTCGTAAATATCAAATAGCCGTTATAATTAATGTGTATCATATTTATTTGAACTATCAATAAATTAGTTCCATTTTTGAAATTAGCCATTAAATATGATTCTCGTAAATACCAAATAGCCATTATAATTAATGTGTATCATATTTATTTGAACTATCAATAAATTGGTTCCGTTTTTGAAATTAATCATTAAATGTTATTGTAAATACCAAAAGCAATCATGATAATTAATGGAAATCATATTTATTTGAATCATCAATAAATAAGATTTATTTTTTTGAAATTTACCAAATGTGTAAATCAAGAATATAATCATTACCTCTTTGTGTGATAAATATTTCAAATAGTAAATTTTCAAATAAAACAATTCCATGAAAGGTATTTTCTTTGAATTCAAAGGTTAGAAATAAATATCAACTTGATTCCTATTTTATTATCCTATTAGTAGGAAAGCGGTGAGCGGCTATCGTACTGCCTCTTCTTTTCTCTAAGACAGATAACACAATAGAGACCAATATCTTATTACCTTATTTAATTAAAAGCGGTGAGCGGCTATCGTACTGCCTCTTCTTTTCTCTAAGACAGATAACACAATAGAGACCAATTATCTTATTACCTTATTTAATTAAAAGCGGTGAGCGGCTATCGTATTGCCTCTTCTTTTATTATATGGGTAAGAATGATATGGAGTCAAGTTATATTTCATTCTTTAACCCTAACAATTATTGATCATTTCACCAATTCCTCAAACCATTTTTTTTATAAGTAAAATTAACCCAACACACCAAACTTTTTCTACCAAGAACTACGTAGTATTGATTTCCCTATTGCACCTAGGGATACATAGGAGCAAGATAAACTCTTGTCAGACACAAAAATAAAAATAAAAATATTTTGTTTCAATAAATAATCATTTGATTTAACAAGCTTTAGGGTATATTCAATTCCATGCGATTATTGCGGGTACCGTTTAATAACGGGCGGACGTGGTGCTAATACCTTCCCCGATCCGTAACCGACTCCCGATTCCAGAATTCTAGTTCGAAGACCCGTCTTTCCAATATTTGGGCACAAAAGGGTTTTTCTACGTTTTGACTGCATAAAACGTAGTGGCGACTCCAAACCAGTCGTGCAACCGGTGTTCGACCGAAAATCAGGGCGCGACACCTTTCTATTTAGGTTGAGCAATGGTCACGTCCATTATATATGCTATCTCCAGAATTAGGAAGGACAGTCTATGACGTGCTTCTTCTAGAACCTATTTTAATTATTTAAACAACGCACGAACCTATTAATTATATTTTATCTTAAACAACGCAAAATAAACTATTATTGTACAAAATAAAAAAATATTTTTCCTAACATATTCCTTTACGTGAACACACAATTTTGTTCGGTGTATTTCTTTAAAATAAAAAAATAATAAAAAGAAACAACAAGAGCATATTTTTTATTTGGTCGAGAAACCATTTTTATACCTCATGATTGCATAGTTCTAGGGATGACAATAAAAACCGTACCCACGGGTATCCGTCCGAAATGAACCCTAATTTAATGTGGAAAACTCGATGTAATTGGATTCTGGTTTTACCCAAGTTCAACTTTCAGGTTCGGGTTTGGTATAGTTGATACTCTACCCCAAACCAGATTAATATATGTATAATTATAAAATTACACATAAATACATGTATAAAGCTATGTATATAGAAATTTAACATGTATAGAACCTATATATGCATATAAATATATGTTTCGGATGAGTTTTCATCGGGTTCGGGGATAATATCATTGTTTTCAAGCCCACTTAATTCAGGTTCGGGTTTTAGATTTTGGGTTCGAGGTTGAATAAACACAAATTCGACCATGTCCCGCCCCGTTGCCATTCCTAATGGTTCATAAATCGCCGTTATGAAATCTTTAGTAATTTTACTTTATTTATACTTCTGTAATATTACATAAAGGCAAAACATGCCTCATGGGTTTTTTAGATTATTTAAAATGCGTTATTTCTATATTTCAACTTTACCCTTACTATCAAAACATACATAAACTTTTACTTGTAAAATTATAATATCCAAAGTTGTCAAACATCATATATATTCTCAGCAAAATTATACATACATTTACGTTATATGTATCATTTACGTTATGATCAACTCTTGAAATTGAACAGTTATGCGAATCCGTTGTAAATGAGTCATGCGGTGCATGCCAAAAAATTTGTTACAATTGATACATACATACTCAGGAAGCCATTTATTTAATATTTATTGTCATTCTATAACCTAAGTAATTTTTTTGGTATAAAATTTTAAGAATTCTTAAGATTACTGAAGATTATGAACAATTAAATTTATGGTTTCTTATTTTTATGGATACCCTAATTGCATACAAATAGGCAACACTTAATTTCAATTCTAAAACGGTTTCTATGTAGGAAAGGTCATTCTAAAACGTTATTATGAACATAAATTTCATTTCCCTAATTGCATAAATTTCAGTTCTTTGGTAGGAAAGGCAAAAATTATAAAAATTGACTTCAGAAAAAAAAAATATGAATTCTATGTAAGATAATTTCTTCATGGTATTTTTTTATGATTGTGAAATAATTATGGCATAAACGTTACTCTCATAAGATACTCGTGCGGATGCATGGGGTGACATTTTTTTCCGTATGGTTAAGAATACACGTTTTATATGTACATTTATATAGTTAAAACATACATGTTACTTGTGTATTTGTATGAATAAAAACGCATATGTTACTCGTGCATTCGTATTGTTAAGAAGACACATGTTACTTGTGTATTCGCAAGATTAAAAATCATGTTACTCATGCATTCGTATTGCTAAGAATACATATGTGACTCTATATTTTAATGGTTAAAAACAAACATGTTACTCGTACATTCGTATTGCTAAAAACACGCATGTTACCCGTGCATTCGTATAGTTAAAACACACATGTTATCCGTACATTGACATTTTTAAAAGGACACATGTGTTATTCGCATTCGTATAGTTAATGCAGACATGTACTATATTTGCATTCATATAGTTAAAAATACACATGTTACTTGTGTATTCACATGATTAAAAACACATATGTTACTCGTGCATTCCTATTGTTAAGAGTGCACGTGTGACTCGTACATTTTAATGGCTAAAAACAAACATGTTACCCGTAAATTTGCACGAGACGTTATTTTTTTGTCATATGATTAAGAACACACATTACATGTACATCCATATGGTTAAGAATGTAACGCCTCAAGTTACTAACACGGAAAAATTCAATTCTTTTTCTAACATAATAAAATTTCATACCATTTAAAATTTCCTTTCAATTAGGAATACTCCAATAGTAAGGTAAACCATATAAAGGAAAACAGCACAGTGATTCCACAATACAAGGTTCTACACTTTTTAGTCTAATAAACTGAACATCAAATACATCAATGAAAATTCCCATGAAAGGGTCTAATATCAACCATTACAAACTCCTAGAGTAATTCAAAAGCACACTAAATCCAAAGCAACTCAATCACCCTAAGGCTCGGCAATATCTTATTCCTTAGCTCCACCTACAATCCGATTACCACGGATTGAGTAAACAAAACAACATAGAGAGAGTCAGTCATTAAATACATGCAATATATATAACATGGTGGATTTAAATAGAATAATAACATTAGAACATTGCAATATAGAAATCACGCATCATTACAGCACAACACAAATCCATGATTTACAATTAACCTTTATGATAACCAGGTCATACATCTATAGTACAACCAACTCGAAACCAATCCGAACCTTAATCAAAAATTCACACTATACGTGCATATCCCGAAATCCATACCACGAAGGCAGGTCAATTTCCATACCACGAAGGGCAGGTCAAACTCCATACCACGAAGGGTAGGTCAAACTCCATACCACGAAGGGCATGTCAAACTCCATACCACGAAGGGCAGGTCAAACTCCATACCACGAAGGGCAGGTCAAACTCCATACCACGAAGGGCATGTCAAACTCCATACCACGAAGGGCAGGTCAAACTCCATACCACGAAGGGCAGGTCAAACTCCATAATCAAACATACCAATCACATCAGTAGGACTAACGCGGTTAAATAGGAAACTCATGAGATTTCCCGTTTAATCGTGTTATCCCATTGAAATCCTCCAACTAGTGAGTGTCGTTGGAGTTTCCAATATCATGATTCTAATACCACAAAGTTTTAATGTTGCTCCCTCACCTGAGTAGTCGCTAACGCTTGCACTAGAGCTTAGTTGCGTTCTCCGCCGTCTACTCCAACCTTAGGGTCTTTCAACCCAAAACAACAACAATCACAACACATCAATTTACATGTCAAGACAAGAATAATATCAACCCAAACTTATACAACACAAGACAACATCATCTATTCACTTCATCCTCAAAAGGAAAGGTTTCCATAATATTGAAATGACTCTACGGTTTTGAAAACAACCCTTCATACACCCTTTACGAAAAACAACTCATGCTCTACGAATTTTACAAGGTTTTCCAAAGCAAAACGAACCACAATGTCAAAAGAGGGTTTATGGGGTTTTATCCCTAAACGTGGAGAAGAAACCCTATTCAAAACAAGACATTCAACCCTAAGAGAGACTAAGTTAAGCGATTTACCTATTCTCCGACCTCTTTCTCGACTCTAAGGGTGCTCAACTCCTCAAACCGTTCCTCTCCTCTTTGTTTTTCGAAAAATAACCCTTA